TCACGCACTTTGCGAATGACGCTAGGAACTACAGTTGTCAAGATATGTAATGGTCGAATGTACTACAACTTCAATAATTTTTTTCTCGGAAAATATCTCTCGGATTTTACAATTATTTTAAAGATATTGACTCCATTTCTCAAGCCGCATCTATTCCCAAATTTTTTGGATAAGTTGTGAATCACCCTGTGTATCATTATCATCAAAAAACAGAGGAGTCCAAAAAATGAGAAGTATGTGGGTGTTTCATTAAAAAAACTAGTTTATATGCTGCTTTAAAATTTCAAGAAAATTTCCTAAGACCTTCGTTTACTGTTTTTTCTCAGACAGAAATGTAAGAAAGGTATATGTAGTAGAATGTTAAGCGAATGACCTTGTACAGTTCGTCGCCATCAATCAGGCTACAGGCAATCCTTAAAATGTAACTGAAAAACTATGGCTTGTAAACACTAATAATAATAATACAAAGTTATGAACTTTTAGAGCACACAATAATTGTAAAAGAGAAAAGCCCGTACATGTTTTTAATAATAATTTTCGCCAGTGAAGCTTTTACTGTGGATTTAATGGAATACGTGAAGATAAAGTTCAGAGTTATGGGTCATTAAATATTCGCATAAAGTAACATTTTTTATTACCTCTTTAATTAACCTTCGTACTTGAAATGTTTCTTATAAGTGTTTTATTCTCCTCAAACATTGGCACCGCCGAATGTGTTTTCGCTTTGTAATTCGAATCTGCCAGATCTTTACGGTCGTAAAAAAAATACGGAAGGGGAATATCATTTTTAGTGGGCCCGCGCTGATTAATCTTCTTTTCTCGAACAAATTTGTTTGGGAATTCAATGTGCTGCCATTATGCTTAAGCCTAGATGCCGTCTGGAGCTGATCAAATAGAATGGGAACTATGTTCGAGCCGCTTCTACTTCTAGTTTTCTGCTGGGTCTTTAAATTTCTTTTTTTTATTATTTCAAGGCAGTATAAACCCTTTTGTGAATATATTTGTTGATTTTTTTAACAGGAAAGTAGGATACGATTGAAGTATTAAATGATTTAGTTTTCGTCATATGAGGAAGTTTGAAAATGTTTCATTTATTAGAATATACAGGGTGATTCAACATAATGTCATTAATTTTAAAAGCAGACAGAAAAAAAGGTTATAAAAAAAATTTAATGCATATTTAAGCTGAACAAAAATATTTTCAAATCATTATCTAACCCCCCTTTCAGGCTGTTACTGACCGGCTGACGTCAGCCGGCTACGATATGAACAAGGCGCCCTAGATGCAATGTTGCCATATTAATATATTTTCGCTCATATAAAGACAATAAATAAACGGTTTGCTTGTTTATAAATTATTTTTTATAATTATGCAATCAACATATTAAATTGTTATTGTTGCCCAGCAAGAACCTCGAGGAGGTCTGAGCATGCCTTCTCAAAAATCATTTTTATTAACATCATAGTGATAATTTTTTAATTTGCTGTAAGCCTTCTACTAAAAATTGTAAGTAACGCGGCCCATTCAGATGTTCAGGTAGAAAATGGGGCCCAATTAAACGATCGTCATATACTCCGGCCCATACATTGACACCGAATCTTCTCTGAAAGCTAAACCGACGAGTAGTGTGCGGGTTTTCATCTGACCAAATGTGACTTATTATGGCTGCAAAGAAATTAGCTCTGTTTCACTTTAAATAAAATTTAATATTGAAGTTACAAAACTCCAAGAGTTCAAATAATTTAAATTTCATTTAATAACCATTCCAATTTCATTACAGAAATAATGACATAAAGAACCAACACTTACTAGATAAATTATAAAGAGAGGGTGAAATGTATGTAGTATTTAAATATTGACTGTAAGTAATAGAAGATAAAAATACAATCGGACGGAGACAAATAAACAACTCGTTATGTGTTTCCGACCTAGGCTAACCTGTGTCGAGGTCACTAACCTTCTAATTTGCACGTGCACTTTAGTCTAGGAGCCAGACAGGGTTCCGTTGCCAACCAGAGTGTCACGGCTGCAAACAACTTGTTCTATAAAGTATTTTGACCTCCTGAATTCAAAAAACTTGGTTGCAAAGCCTGAAAGTGGTCAGTTTAATTGTTATCAACAAACTAAATATTTAAAAATGTTTATTTTTATAGCTAGTACACGGAACCTGATCTGGCTCCTAGACTAATACGAACTGTAGTAGGATCGTATTCCATGCAAAATAGAGCAAAAAGTTGTCGAAGGAAATCGTGTCATCAAATTGAATGTAATGAAAAGAGATGATTGTTTCCGGACGTTTTCACGTTTTATAATTTATTATGTTAAATAATACACAGTTTTAGTATTTCAATTTTTTATTCAATATGCAGTTGCGTATAACCACAGTTTACATAATAAATGTACACTTTAGTGTAAATCTAAACTTTGGTGTAATCTAGGTAGGCACTTATTGTTTTTGAGAAAGCAATACTTATGTTTTTCTTATGTAAGTCGAGTAAAATTTTTTTTCCGATTTTCTGTCTATTAAGGTGGCCATATTCCCGGCCGAGAAATAGTGAAATTTCTGTTGTTTTTAGGTACTGAAATCTTTAAAAGCAAAACGTGTAGAACAAAAGTAAGCACAAAAATAAAATCCTTGATGTTTTGTTTATTCATTGTTACCATTTAAATTTACTCAAATAAAATAATAACTAAAAAAAAGCGTTTGTAAAACATGCGTTTGCTGTTATTCTAACCCCACATTTTAAGAATTATTTTCACGTACTTATAAATAAAAGTAAACAATTTTATATCTAGGACTAAGCAAGTAAATGTTATAAGAATATTTACATGTGGAATTATATATAAAAAAGTTAGTATTTTCGTAGATTTCAGTACCTAAAACCTTGATGGTTTGATCATTTTTTGCACCTGTTTATTCCTTTTACTGCGGCGTCTATGAAAATACCCAGATGGCATGACATAACATTCCTATTATTTGATAAGCTTTAGATTATTCAGTTATTGAAAAATGTTTGAAATTATTTGTCTTTGCGGAAAACACTATTTAAAGAATATGGGGCCCTTAAGCCTTCCGAATACGTGGTTAAAATTAATGACATTATGACTGAATCACCCTGTATAAGAAGATATTTGACGTAAACTAATGAAAGCTGAGTTAGTAATTTAATAAAGTAAGCGTGAAAATTAACTCAAATTATTTACACCGGGTTAAGAAGTCATTTGGAGTTCAACTTCAAATGGAAACCCCATTTGTTTTATCCAGAAACGGAAAGATCAGGAAATTCAATACAAACTGTCAAACAATAACAATGCTGTCATAACATTACCTGTCACTGTCACCAACCATATAGCGTTGTCCATGAGTAAATAGGCTTTTCACGGCCTAATTAGTGAGACTTAGTTAAAATACCTATTCGCATTTTGGACTATATCAATGTCCGATATGTCAAAATATATTACAACTAAATCTAAATCCTTACGTAATTGGAAAAAAGGCAGAAATGCCTAAAAGAGGTCTAACAAATACAAAATGTATTTCCTTAATAAAAAACCTTCTTTTCGTTTTTTAATATTATCTCACTTATTGTTAGAGATGGACCCTACAAACTCTACATGACTATGCTCGACAGGGAACGTTCTATCCAAATACTTAAAAGTATATAGGGTGTTCCGTTTAAATTAACAAAGTTCACATCCGCGGCCATTTTGTTTGGTCTTCATTTTTTCTACTATCATTTTCGAAAACTTTATAAAAAATCGTGCAATTTTTGTATTTCACATTTTTTTATAACTCTTAAAACAAAAAAGTTAATGGAGGGATCAAAATATAGTGAATCGCCCTGTACTTTAGTTTTGGATGTCTTACTTTTTATGATTGCTATTCCTTAATTATTAACCGTCTCTTGTGGAAGCCTTTTTTATAATTATTTTATCTTTCATGTACAACAGTTCCATCAAACTTGAAACTGTGTATAAAAATAAAAATTCCGAACATGCTATTATAGCTGTTTTATTTTGTTGGTTTAATAGTGTAATTGGTTGTTAAGTATCTACTTGTTTGGCCAATATAAACCCCGTTACAATCTGAACAAGGTATTTTGCAGATAACGCTACTCTCAAAAAATCTCTGGTCATTCAGATACATTTGAGATTGTATGCTCCTAGAAATAACATATTTTATGTGCGGTATATGTTTAACATTATACGGAGACACTAACCATTCCTTATTTCTGAAAAAGCTCTTAGATGCCATTAGCTCGGCATAATTGCTTTTGCAACCCATTCGCAATAACAAGAAACATTAAGATTAACGACACCACTGATTAGAATATTTGCTTTTCTTAAGTAACTATTTCTTAGACGCCGAAGAAGTTGTGCAGCGTTATGATTAAGTGCTAATGGCCGAATTCCCTTGACACACAAGGTTTTAATATGTGGAGTAAACACAGTCCGAATTTCTCAACTTCTGACGAGCTCTTTATTTTCCATACGAGCTGCTTTGTAAGGTACAAGAGGAGGATCAATATGTAGACATGTTACGTCTCTTTTATTACAGCTTATTTCTTTCTCGTCTGGTGGGGCATTCCATAGAGATGGTTTTTGAGCAGGAAGTCGATTATTAGGACGTGATTGTATCTTTTTTTCAAAGCATGGCGCGTAGTTAATCTCTAGTTATTAGTGATAAGATTTTTTGGGTGTGTTGTGTAAGTAAGGGGATGTACGAAGAGAGCTCTTTGAGAATATTACAAGATTGATGGGTGCGCTGATCAAAGCCTACCCAGAGAGAGAGGGAGATTCAATATTCCACACATACAGCGGAATAAAATGTAATTTAAATAAGAGGGGATGTTATTATTTATTCCTTTTTCATGGATTTTTGAGATTTGGATCGACGCGGGCCTCTCGCGAACCGGGCCGAGTTGGCGCAACTTTCGAGTAGGGGGAGAAGTTTGGGGAGGGGTCGCGCAACAACGACGCGTTATTCGGTTCCAGGCCGTCACAGTGTCCGTAGACAACGTTGTGTCCCGGAAACATGCAATAGTGATTACGCGCACGTTTAACAACCGGAGTTCTAGCGCGCCCCCTTCAGTGACTGTGCTAATTGGTGTTTTTTTTTCTGTTGTGGCCAGAGATTGGGATTTATATTTTTTTCTTGGTCACGTGGACTACCTGTGCTCACAACGCTGGAACATTTAAGGCCCATTGTGGCTTCTATCACCACGCTCATTGGGAACTGTGAGACTATGGAAGCCACATATTGCGTCGGTACTGATGTTGATGTTTGTAGGATGTTCGACCAGTACTTGTATAAGGTACGGCTTGTTTTGTTTTTCCGAAATTCGCGGTAGAGCACATGGGCTGGCGTGGAGTTTGAAATGTAGCGTCGCGCGCAAAGTTACAGCTTGGGGTCGACGAGAGGTGTTGGCGGAGGTGCAGGAATTTGACCCGAAAATTGTAGCAAACCCCTAATACCGTATATTTCTTATTTTTTTATAAACGACGAACGATAATCGCCCACTCACTTTGCAAATTAATCTGCAACTAAATACTTCATGCTAGCGCTGTTATTAAAGTGTAGAAAATTTGAAATTTCAGTTCAGTACACTTCAAATACCATGTTGGACTCAATATTGCATTTACCATTATCTATAGACTACAACCTTTCATATATACGCCCATCATAAGTAGAGTATTAAATATTTTTTAATATATCGGGAAAAAAATTAATAAATGTAGTCTTGAATCTTTTATTCGCTTTTAATGCTTGTTAATTATTTTGGCTTGTATGTTATATCTACGGACATGTTTTGAGTTTGGATAAAAAAACATTAAAATCGCTAAATCGACACCCAAGGCCTGGTAATTCTCCTGACGTTTGATCTTAGCGTAGCTCTTATTTACTGGACATAGGGTGTGTAATTCAACGACATGTAGTCCGCAGAGTAGTGCTTTCCCACAATATCATCAGTTAAAATGCGTCAATATGTAATAATATTTAAGAAAACATACTTCTAGTAAAACTGATATGACAACATACATCTTTTTTGTTAGTGGTACAGTTAAGATTCATTTTTAAAACTAATATTCAAACAAGAGTTAAAATCAAATTTGGTTGACTGTCAAAGAAATAATTTGTATTTCCTTGGCCTAAAAAAGATCCTCAGTAGAAGCAACCAATGAACGAAAATTAACTAATAAGTATACTATATACCATTTGACTCGTATAGAAAATTAAAAACACTACAAATTGTATTATAATTTTTTCACTCAAAAACATTTACTCAACGAATTTATGACAAACAACCTAAGCTACTCTTGTATAGGTTAGATTGCATATTTAAAAAAAAACGGTATATAAGTTCCCAAAAATATTTAATTCCAACATTAATTTGATAAAATGCACTTTTCATTATGCTCATGAGTAATTTTAGGCATACATCTGCTACTTTTCTATTACGTGGTTTTGAAAAAATGTATTCCGTTTCGGTCGAGTCTCCCCTAAATGTTTTCATTTCATTTTTAACGCGATAGAGATAACAGATTGTTTACGGTGACACATAAAGCTATACATTATGCGTACTTAGATATTGGAAAGTGTACCTGAAAGATAACAAGAGTGTGAATTTGATTTGTTGGTAAAATCTTATTATTCGTCTGTAAAATGTATTCTTGATTTGGTGCTATTATGTTTAATAATTCTTATTTAATTATTTAGTAAGACATTTCAAGAAAAACAGTGTATTAACTATTAAATCTAAAGATGTACGATATACTCGCAATTTTAGTTTAATATGAGCATTAGATACACAAAAATATTGCCATGATAAACACAAAATTGTGCACAAAAACGTTCGCCTAAAAGTTATGTAAAACTCTCCTACAATATTGCTTGAAAGTGTGGTAAAAACTACAAATTGTACGTAATAATTTCACAACTGATAATATTTTTAAATAAGTATTTGAATCAACTTATAACCGGACTAGTTGTGCTAAAATTCTATAAACCTACGCTACAATGTTTTCCAAGTATTAGGTACTTATCAAAGGTTGCTATCTTGTGCAAGAATCCTTTGGTACCTTAGGTATAAAACATTCCCTTTTGATCGAGATTTTGACGTACATATTCAAATTCATTGACAGAGTTGTCCCTAGATGAATAGACTCTTATAAATAATACGTATCTTGTGTGTTCCAGTACTATTTTGTAGTTCAATAAATAGCATATACCTACCTACGTTACATGAAAAATGTTGTGAAATATACTAGCACCTCCAGAACGTTGTAAGATAAAGCATATTCCTTGCAGTCATTAAATTTTCTGTCGAGCCCCATCGTCGTTTACATTTCAAGAATCATATTTTTTAAATTTAGACGAGCTTTGCCATGTTTTGGCGTCTGTAACGGACCATATGTTTGTGTTTTAACTGAACACATGAAAATGTACTGGCGAGAAGCACTCTTTAATAATTACTCTTTGTGGTAGATGTAATTGAACTTAAATGTAAGCATTTGAGGTCAACATTAACTATTTGAAATTTAAGACTGGAGTTTATTTATAACTGTCTATCGAGGAAAAATTTCTCTATTTATACTTTCACTTTAATCCCGCTTATGAACCAACAACATTTTTAATGGATTCGTGTTGTAAATGTGTATCTTCAATTAAAGTATTTGTATGGCAAATACAGGGAAAATTATTTTCTGCGACATTTCACTTGCAACTAAATGGGCAAAGCAGGGAAATATACATTTGTACCTCCTTGAAAACGTATGTATAGTGTGACGACATATTAAAACACTCGGTTAATGGTTATATTAGCTTAAGAGCAGTTTACAAATGTCAAACAAGTTCAGGGGAAGTTTCTAGAACACAATTTTTTGAATTTGATATATATTGTTATACATATATACGTACTAACAACGGAAATGAAATTACTACAGGCTTAAATAACAGTTAATTGCATTAATTATCGCAGCATTTTTACGGTTGAATAGTTTTAATTATATACCAATCGATCTGCATATATAAATTCAATATAGATATATTATTAAACGCTCGTAGGTAGTGCATGTTGATGACTACTATTAATTATTTGCCTGAACATTTATTTTAACTTCTTGTTTTGTTTCGAGGTGTGTATAGATTTCTTTCTCTCAATTTTTATCGATATTTAATTGCAGTTTTATTACATTTTCTAATAAATGAATCTTCCTAGCATATTGATGTTAATTTAAATATTTCCGCTTACGTAAGTTCCCCATATGTATTTACCATTATTCGTATTGTTTTTGCAGATGAATCAACAGCTATTGAAACTGAACAGACAGTTAGGTGCACATTTTTTAATTGAAACAAAGTACCTTTAGTTTTTTTTACTCTTAACGTTACTGTTATTTTATAGTTCCAGTGATGGAAGCTTTGGAAATATCTAAAGTTTTACACTTTGAAATAAACGACAATGGCATAATTTTAGATAAATTAAACTCCATTGCCAGCAACAAATTTTTATTAATTCCCCCAGAGACAACAACTTTCTCGCCTCCATTGTTAAACTTTGTTATTGTGTACCACTATACTCTTTTAAAGTGCTTCATCATAACCATTACCGTTATGTTATATTATGTACTTCGTCACCAACTGGGTTTTGACATACCTTTTACTTTATACACTAAATGTTACGAGATATTAAAATTGTAATTTACTGACGGAGAGAAACGGTTTTGTATGGTAATACAATTTCCATAATTCATTTTTGTGCGTCAATTTCACCATGACTAAGGACTATGACTAGATAAAAGTGTTGTGTAGTCCTTTGTAACATATTTAAGAATGTTTAAAATTTGTATGTGTCTGTTAAGACACATTCCAATGTCGATATGTATTTCTTGACAATATTAGAATGTATTGCAAAAGCATAATTAATTAAAACATGTTTTTTTTTTTCGCTCCGCTGGAGTTTGTTGGCATCAAATTTATTTTTATTCGATTCTAAGTGGTTTTATCTTGAAGTTAATCAGTTGTTGCCGATTTGTATACTTTGGGGATTTTGTGTAAATCGTTGTTTGTCGAAGCAATAAGTTAAACAGCCAGTTTATGTGTAGGCGACTATTTATATAAATACAGTTATGTTTTTTGGTGTTAATCGCTAAATATTTGTTACCTACTTAATCGGTCATAGTACTATGATGTTCGGTTGAAATCTTTAGCTATTAACAACAAATTAACGTTTTTATTTGGTGGAATATTTAGCATTTTTCAAGTCAAAGTTGTTCGAGTATATTTTCATAAATGTGCACCAATTTACTATATTATTCGAGAGCGTTAAGTTTGTATTAAATTCGATAAGAGACCTAGCTATTATATAGACCTTTTTTTTATGAAGTACATTTTTTATTAAGGTCAGAGAAAGAAAACTATAATCTACCGTGACATTATTACATTTTGCAATAATAAATGTAGAAATAGTAATGCAAATTTAAATTTTTCTGTTCTAGTTTCGAAATGAGACGAGCGACATTTTTTATTGGCGCAATAAAACTCCTGGGCTTGTATAAATTTTAATGAGCAGAATAAAAAAAATAACATAAATTATATCTCGTATGAAATCATGATTAAATGTACATGTGGATAACATTTTGTAAACTCGAATGTTTTCATGATATTTTTATGCTTCCTGTGTAAATCTCATTTGAAAAACGTAAATATAATTTGTGTATTGGGGAAATACAGATCAGTCGTAAACTATAAAATGTTTCTAAATATGTCTATCTATACCTGATGTTAAATATATGTATATGACGATATTTTTAAATAAGTTGTTTTTCATTCTAATGAGACCTTCGTTATTTATTTACAATTTACATTGTCTAATGAAATGTACATTTACGCAATATTGAACAGTTGAAATAAAACATTTGGTAGTCATTTCTCACGATAATACTTTCAGTAAGGTTGTATCATAAAATGTAGGACACACAGAAATACTACATAATCATATAATGTCGTGTTATTGTATAAAAGATAATATCCTCTATGTTTATTGTTTAACTTTTTAATACTTGAACTAAAAACAAATGTGTGAAAACAATGATTTCGGGTACAGGAAACTCTTGCATTACTCAGATTTGATTCTAATATCCAGAAAAATGATTGTAACTGCATCGTTATCCTTGTAGAAAAAGAGGTTAGAAAAAACACTGCTTTACATATTCAACTTTGGTATTTAAACAAATGCGGATTACTATCGATTTTAAAAAAAAATACCATGATTCTGACATAATTTACGTCTAAATAATTGTTATTATTAACAGA